ACTTTTCTCTTACTAATTTTTTAATAAGTACTGCTATCACCAAGCTTGGTTTATAAAGTCACCTCAGTATATCCTAAATGTATCTGACATGATCTGTCGTGCATTTTGTAACATTTTGGAGGCCTCAGTCAGAGGGTAGTAGCCATCCTGTGTTCTGGAGCCTGGCCTGGTTGTCTGGGGAGGCCACCGTGATGATTTACACGGCCCCACTGCCAGTCCTGGCTTCCTGACTCGCAGGATTTGCACTGACCTCTGCCTATATACAGTTACATCATCATCCAAATTTACTTGTTTTGAGTACTCATCCTCATCTGGGACTCAAGAGGGCTGGATACAACACAACTTCTTGAGTCAGGGTCCATATGAGACCCTCATTAGCTATTTAAAATTGAATGAGTGTGGTGGCCACCTATGTCTGTCTTGCTGTATGTCTTTTTGTTAAAATTGTTTGAAATTTTACTCTTACAGTCTTCTCATAGTTAAAAAAAAAAGGGGGGGGGAGTGAATGTGTGTGTGTTTTACTGTCTGGTCTCAATGTTCCTTGAGATCAGATGAGAAACCATCTGAATAACCATGCAAACTTATTATACTACAAACAACAGGTTATTCTAACCAATATAATTTCAAAATGTCTAAGATCTTAGATCATTACTGAAACTACTTTATTGTTTTTTCCTAAATTAAGATTGCTTTTGGCTCACATAATTTAAGCCTCAGACTGTCATTGAAAATGTTTTAAGTCATCCATATGTTTGTACTCAAGTTAACTTAACAACCAGGTTACTCATGGTATATTCTCACTGTCTTTTCAATGTACTATTTAAGCCAGTATCTTTATTTTAAATTTATTATATAATAGTTTTCACCTGATGTTGTTACTAAGAGTGATTAGCTTTCTCTTCACTTCTCTTCTACTTCCTCTCTGAAACTCCAAAAGGCCTCTCTGAATATACAGGTAGACCTCCAGAATTTATATAGGTATGGCTAACTTATAAACCTGACATCCCAAAGACTGCCTTTACAGCCCAATTTCCTAGAGGCCCAGAGGAAGAGTAGTGACCTAGGTACCAGGAGGAACCCTGGTGCTATCTCTCCCTCTTGCTTTCCTCTGGCCAAAACAACAGAAGGAGTTTCACTAGCCTCAGTGCTACCCTTGCTGAGGGCAACAGACTTCCACCCGGAAATATTTTAAAGGCGAAGTTTGCACAGATCAACACCTGCCATGAGGACACGTCACGTGTACATCTGCTGACCACCCTCAACCACTGAAGACATCTCCATGCAGGACTTAAACTACTTCCAAAAGGACTGCTGATAAGTAACATTCCTCCCTTACAAGATGGAGCCTTAAGCTCCCTCTCGCTTTTCTGAGATGGCTCTGTATACACTGTAACTTGTACAAAGTGTGTTGTCACTAATTGTCTTAATTCTAACCTTATGCCTGGTACTTTTGGTGTCTTGAGAAGGTCCTTATATGTAATGTTACCTGTAAATTTGACTGAACCATGGTATGATGCTGATCTTTATGCTTTGGAATTGTTTTCAACAACTTTGTTCATCCTTTGTGTGTTATCTTTGGGCTTCACTGCATTTGTTACCCTTACTGGACCTCTTACAGCTGGTGCAATAGGTTCATAAGAAAGTATTGATAAATCTAGAGGTCAAGATTGGTGCATTAGAAGAAGCAGATATTTATATTGGCACTGAAACTTAACATTTAAAAACCAGGTTTGGTACAACTTGCCATAGTATTTACAAATGGATTTGTGTCACTCCTCTTTCTTATAATGACTCGCATGTCCATTGGAGTAATGTTAAGACTCATCTCCAAGGTGTATGGAATGACACATCGACTAGCCTTAGCATTCAGGAATTACATGCCCAGATCTCTGCCATTTCTCACTCTCACCTTCAGGCTCTCTCTGCAGGAGGCATTACTAACCATTTCTTGCAATCTCTTTCATCTTTTATTTCCGATAAGACCTCCTACTCATTTTTTATAAATTTGGGGATCACACTAATTATTCTCCTTTTTGTATTGTTTTTTGGCCCAGTCATCTTCCAACGTTTAAGCTCCACAATTCAAGCCACTCGCAGAGAACTCCGCACCCTCCAACTTAATAATAGGAAAGGGGGAGATGCTGGAGTCCGTGTGATGGGGGTGGAAGACAGGAAGGTGTGAAGAGCGTGGCTCCATTGCAGGCAAGGTTGCAAGGAACTTCCCGCTGTGTGGCAAGGCCTGGCGGATGTCTCTACAACACCTGAATGTGGCTCTGCCTCCCTTTGCATGGACACCAGACAACCCCACTGAGAATTCTGTAATCTATTTAGGCATTGCCTGCCTCTGCGGAGTTACTGTTAAACGTCAATAGGAACTTAGAAGCTAATGTTGCTAGTGCCGTTTTTAGCCAAAGAGCTATTATCGCTGTTAGGGCTGCATCCTGTGGCGATATGCTAACCAAGGGTACTAACTCCCCTTTTGATCCTATGCTAATCAAGGGAGTTCTGCCTTCAGGTGTAGTGGGAATCTATTCTTTCCTTCTTCTTTGATCTTTTAGGCCCCTTCCTCCCTTGACTATCTCAAGACCAATTGTGGTAGGAATGTGCTACTAACTGATATGCATCATCTGTTGAAAACCTTTTCCTAGCCAGGCTCCAGATGCCAGATGAACAGCAACCTAGCCTTAGGTGAAACAAATGGCAGAGTTATCTTTAGAAACCCCCGCTTGAGCGTGACGTAAAAAGCCTGAGCCAGAGTTTGACTGATTTTGTATAAATAAAGCGGACAGCTTTTGTGCGTGGTCCATCACGATGGTCAAGAGTTCCTAGTGGTCCGTCTCTCTCTTTCTTTGCGCCTCATTCACGCACCCTTCGCGAGCTCCGAACTCAGCTGGAGCTGGACTCCGGCAGGCAGGTAATTGTGAAAGAGGTACAATAACATGCTGTTACAGTGTGAAATGCAGTGATTCTCCCAAGCCAATTATTTGCTCACTTGGTACAAATATTTTCATTACTGACAGTGTTCCCTGACATTAAATTTTATTCTGAAATGTACAATGGAGTTATGTGACCAACACCATGGATTTATTTTTTCTTTTGTTTTCTGTAAGTATGCATGCTTTAGGTCTCTCAGAGACTAAAGATGAAACAATTCTCAATTAGCACTGTCACCTGTTTAAAAAAAAATCAATGAACTCCCATTTTATTTCCATGTAAGATAAAGTTTTACAAATCCCTATCAGTGTTTTACACTAAGTCCAATCTATTTACCTGTCTTCCTTCTGCCTGCCTTCCTCTTCCCCTCACCTCCTCCCATTTTTTTCCCTTCTTTCCTCCCTTACAAATGAGAACAATTATTCACAACAAAGCAGAAAGGACAGAGACTTGAAATAAGAGTTCTTTTAAAAATAATTCCTGCTAATGCTCATCAGGGATACACACCAAGCTCTCGAGCTAGGGAAGCACAGATGTGAACTGCACACCAGCAGCAGTGCCCAAACTCTGAAGTCAGCCATCCTTCACATTTCCCAATATTCTTCCTTTATTTTACATTCATTTTCAAGGACAGAAACAGAAAAGGCACTAAAGGAGGTTTCTAGTTCCCCCCCAGTCTCAGCTCATGCTTAACCAGTAAAAGAAAACACTCTGATTTGAACCACTGACAGCTTCCCAAACCTTACATAATACACAAACAGAAGCATCTTCAAAAAACTTGGTGAATTACTCATGCAGTTTTGTTGTGGATCATGAAGCCGCCTTAAAACTCTGTTACTGGATCACCACTCTCCACTGGTCTGGCATCCCCTATTTAGAAATTCTGGAGAAACCACGAGTAGGAATAAATAACACCAGCATTAAAAAAAAAAAATTAGAACATAGTTGCAGAGTTACTTGTGGTTTCAATGATCCAGTTCTAGGTTAAACCAAGTTCTGCAATAGAGGGCCATTGTTAAAACCACAGGAAGAGCCACAGCGTCTATAACCAAAAACTACCAAGGAAAAAAACGCCAGTTGGGTTTTCCACAGTGCTGCAGCGCTAGAGTAGTACTGCACCACCAGACTGTCCATCCAAACTATTATCCCTGAAGTCAGGGCTAGTTCTAGAAGTACGGTGACTACTAGTTCCTTATAACTGAAGAAAGTTCACAGAAATGCCCATCCTCCAGACAGAATGGCAAAATGCTTGGAATACTGTTGAGACTAGAAATAAATCCTAGTGCCATAGGTACATGCCAATCTACATGAGAGCCCTAAATTAAATTTTCTTATTACAGCTTGTAAACTTTAACAAGTTTAAGTATTTAAGAACTACTTTGTGTAAAATCAGACATTTCTCATTAATTGTTAACTAAACACCATGAATCATCTAGGCACCTAGGCTACTTCAAACAGTCCTTGATTACTGCTCCTGCCCTCCCCTTCCACTCCCAATAGTCTATAAAGAAACGGGGAGAGAAAACATTAAGACACAGAGATATAAAAGGACTCAGAATCACATAATAAAACGCATACTAAAAGCTTTACTAGATTTCCCCTCTGGTCTTCAGACTATATTAGCAGCACAGAAACAACTACAAATGACCAAGGTTTAAAAACACACCTTCATTTCGTAAGTCTATGCTGAGCAAGCTGGGACTTTAAACCTTGGTTTTTTTCAATTCTTAGTGCCGTGGGCTCTCACAAGTGTAAATGATGTTGCTAAATGCCTCTGAGTATCAAGTGTGTTTTGGTAAAATTCACACATCTCCAAGTTGATGCAATGTATTCTTGGCTAAAGTACTGGCACAAAGATTTCTCTTCAGCCCTTTGTAAACCTTAAGAAATGAGATGGATGGAAAAAGCAGAAGACAGTGAGCTGTGCACTTCGAGGTAAGTCAGATGTCACTAAGTCTTTCTTTACCTGGGGTCCGCTATCCTTGGAAACATTTGCTTCAGTCTCAGGGAGCTGAGAAGGTGGGAAGAAGGTGTTAAGCTTATTTATCTTCTTTTTAGAGACTCACCTTTCATGACATCATGAAATCCATGCAGAGCAGCACCAACATTTGTCAAGACAGAGCTATAATTTGTTCGAAGGAGTCCATCTGGCTCTGTACCTAGGAAGCCAAAATCACAAACTTAAGCATTTTTTTCTGAGAAGTTGATTGTCCATCGTCTACCTCAATTTTTGGGAAAAAAATAAACACTGCTTATAAAATTAAAAGCCCAGAATTGTGGCTAGCTGGTTAAACCATTACCTCAGACTTGGTATCCTATGTGAGTGTCAGTTGGGAGTCCTACCTGCACCACTCATGATCTAGCTCCCTGCCAATGTGTCCAGGGAAAGCAGTGGAAGATGGCCCAGATACCTGGCTCCTGCCATCCACGTGGAAGACACGTACAGTTTCAGGCTTCTAGTTTCAACCTGGTCCCACTCCAGCCACTGTGGTCATTTGGGGAGTAAATCTGTGGATGAAATGTATCTCTATCTCCCCTTTCTCACTCTTTCTTTTGCTCTCTCTCTGACGCTCTGTAACTCTGCATTCCAAATAAATAAATCTTAAAGATATATATATAAGAAACAATGGCTCTTCAAGACTTTGCTGATACATGTACATTCAATGGTGATAAACATAGGCACATCTGATTGGCTGTATCTCCCATGTCCACATGTAAAGAGCTCTTAATTAACAACAAAAAATTTTTTAAATGAAAAATCCAGTGGACATTTCTCTGAAGATACACAAACAACTGATAAGCACATAAGAAGATATTTAACATCATTAAACATTAGGGAAATGCAAACTGATATCACTTCACTAAAACCAAAAAAATCACAGTGTAATACACATCAGGGGAAGATGTAGAAACTAGAATCCTCATATTCTGGAGGTAGAAATTTTTCATATAGTTAAGAGTATTTTAGAAAACAATCTAGCAGGCCCGGCACCATGGCCTAGCAGCTAATGTCCTCGCCTTGAACGCGCCAGGATCCCATATGGGCGCCAGTTCTAATCCCGGCAGCTCCACTTCCCATCCAGCTCCCTGCTTGTGGCCTGGGAAAGCAGTTGAGGACGGCCCACAACCTTGGGACCCTGCACCGGTGTGAGAGACCCGGAAGAAGTTCCTGGATTCTGGCTTTGGATCGGCATAGCATCGGCCGTTGTCCTCACTTAGGGAGTGAATCATCGGATGGAAGATCTTCCTCTCTGTATATCTGACTTTGTAATAAATAAATCTTAAAAAAAAGTAAGAAAACAATCTAGCAACCCATCAAACAATTATAGAATTATCATACTGCCCAGCAATTCCACTCTTACGGATATACACAAAGGACATAAAAAAATACATGTACACATAAGAATTTAGATGCAAATGTCTATAATATCATTATTCATAATCACTCATTCAACACAGAAATCTACTCCCTGATCAATGGAAAAATAAACTGTAACACATCCACACACTGAAGTATTGTTATTCTATCACACGGAAGAATGAAGGAATATGCTACAACTTAGATGAATCTTGAAAACATTTTGCTTAGAAAGTAATTACAAGAGACGATAACTTAATGTTTCCATCTGTATGAAATATACAGAATAAGCACATCTACTGATGGAAAATGGCTGATTACGACAAGGAGTCACAGACAGAGGATGAACAAGACAGCTAACACTTCCAGGATTTTCTCCTGAGGTGATGAAAATGGTATAACACTGTGCATATCAATAATATACATAACAGTGAATATACTAAAAAAAAAACATAGAATTGTACACTTTGAATGGGTAAGTTGCAGGTATATAAATCATATCACAATTGTAAAAAATTAAACAAAATATCACAGAACCAGGAAATTCATGACTACTTAAAAACATTTAAACAGATCTATTTGGTTATTTGAAAATGCATGTTTCAAATCAGGCCAAAGGGAAATAAACAGCATTTTTACTACTAAAGCTCTCTCATGGTACTTGTTGGGAAGTTGCTACAAATTTTTGAGAGTTTCTTTTCTCTCTTTAAAAAAAGAAGAAGGTGTGGCCAGCACTATGGAATAGTAGGCTAAGCTTCTGTGCATCCCATATGCATAGCAGTTCAAGTCCCATATGCTCCACTTTCAATTCAGCTCCTGGGAAAGCATCAGAAGGTGGTCCATGTAGGAGATCCAGAGGAGGCTCCCTCACTTTCTCTCTCTCTTTCTGTTTCTCTTTCTCCCTACCTCCCCCTCTCTCCATGATTCTCCCTTTCAAATAAAAATAAATTAAAAAAAAAAAAAAAGAGGAAGAGAGGCCAGCACAATAGCCTAGTGGCTGAAGTCCTTGCCTTGCTCATGCCAGGATCCTAGCTAGTTTTAATCCTGGCAGCCCCGGCATCCAGCTCCCTGAATGTGGCCTGGGAAAGTAGTCCAGGACAGCCCAAACCCTTGGGACCCTGCACCTGTGTGGAGACCTGGAAGAAGCTCCTGGCTCCTGAGTTTCGATCAATTCAGCGCCAGCTGTTGCAGCCACTTGAGGAGTAAATCATCGGATGTAAGATCTTCCTCTCTGTCTTTCCTCCTCTCTGTGTATCTGACTTTCCAATAAAAATAAATAAAATCTTTAAAAAAAAAAAGGATGACAGGAAATTCACATTTAATACATATTAGATGATATTTTACCTTCTTAATTTAATAATTACAACATTTAACTCCATTTTACAAATAGGAAAAGAAAAAATACTATATCAAACCATCTCTTTTCCAGCACCTAATACTCCTAAGTCTTTCTTCAAGTCGAATCATGAGCAACGAGCACACTTACTTGGCAGCGCGAGAAGAGCGACGTAAGTCTGCAGCTTCTCAAACACAGCTGTCATCTTTTTCATGTCCTGGGACAGCTCTAGATTCCTGGCTCTTAACGCAGATGTGCACAGCGAAGATTCAGATTCTTCTTCTAAACTAGGAATGGGCAGATTTTTAAATGTTGAGCTAAGTGATTTTTCAATTAGCTATTAGAACTGTCTCAAATGACTACATCCAAGGAGAGACTACAGAAAAATAATTCGATCTTTTTCATATGGTTCCATTTTTTTTTAACACTATGATACACACAACTGCTTGCTGCAAACACCAATGGCATTACAAAGGACTGAATGGAAGAAAAATAAACGCACTGGCCCATTATCATTCCATCCTGAGCAACACAAAATACTACAATATTTACTACTTTGAGCATTAAAGCTTCTTAAAAGTTACAGGAAAGAAATGTTTCAAAAACAAGTTCCTGTAGAGAATTAATTAGGGACCAGCATTGTGATGCACCATCTAAAGTCCCAGCATCTCATCTGGGTGCCAGTTCAAGTGTTGGCTGTTTCTTTTTCCATCTGACTCCCTGCGAAAGCACCTGGGAAAGCAGTGGAAGACAGCCCAAGTACTTGGCTCCAGCCCTGGACACTGTGGCCATTTGCAGAGTAAACTCTAGGATGGAAGAGATCATTCTTTCTTTATCTAACTTCCTATCAAATAAATTGATATTTTTAAAAACACTAAACAAGAGCTGATATTGTTGAAACTGATAGTAGTAGAGATAATCACTATAAAACTTTTTCATTGTAGTTTGAAAAGAAACTTTGGGAAAAAATCTAGAAGCTCAAATTTATAAGTAAATGTTAAATATTCAGAAAACACATTTTAACATTTTTGTCTTAAAATTGTTTTCCAAATTCAAGTAAAACCAGATTTTCAGACAAAACTCGAAAAGTTTACAATTACAATCATATCTATCTCCTTACCACCTCTCTTTTACTACATTTTATAGTTTCATTCAACTCTAAGTCCAATTACCCAAAGCAACTCCTTGTGAATCGAAGGAGTATATAAATGCCCCCAAATTGTGTAAAAAGTACTAAATCCTAGTGAAGGAGAAATGAAAGCACACAGAATGTTTCAGTAATAGGAATTTTAGATCAGACAATAATTTATCTAATGTTTTTAAGAATGCAATCATGGGGCCCCGGCGCAGTGGCGCAGTGGTTAAGGTCCTCACCTTGCACGCCCGGGATCCCATATGGGCGCTGGTTCTATCCCAGCAGCCCCGCTTCCCATCCAGCTCCCTGCCTGTGGCCTGGGAAAGCAGTCGAGGACGGCCCAAAGCTTTGGAACCCTGCACCCACGTGGAAGACCCGGAAGAGGCTCCTGGCTTCGTATGGGCATAGCATTGGCCGTTGCACTCACTTGGGGAGTGAATCATAGGATGGAAGATCTTCCTCTCTGTCTCTCCTCTCTGTATATCCACCTTTCCAATAAAAAATAATAATAAAAAAAAATCTTTTTTAAAAAAAAAGAATGCAATCATGAGGGTGGGCATTATGGAACAGCTGTTTGGAACACCTGCATCTGACACCCAGCTGCACTTCCTAAACCAGCTTCCTGGTAATGTGCACCCTTGGAGGTGGCAGATGATGATCAAGGTCATGGGTTCCTGCCACCCCGGGCAGAGACCTGGACCAAGTTTCCAGTTCCAACTCTTGGGCCAACTTTAGCTGCAGAAAGAAGAGAACCAGTGCATGGGAGCTGTGCTGCCTTTCTCTCTCCCTTTCTCTCTTTCTCTATCTCTTTCTCTCTCTCTGCCTCTCAAATATGTAAATAAATGTAACTTTTTTTTTTTTTAATTGGAAAGGCGGATATACAGAGAGGAGAGACAGAAAGGAAGATCTTCCATCTGATGATTCACTCCCCAAGTGAGCGCAACGGGCCGATGCTATGCCGATCTGAAGCCAGGAGCCTCTTCCGGGTCTCCCACGTGGGTGCAGGGTCCCAAAGCTTTGGGCCATCCTCGACTGCTTTCCCGGGCCACAGGCAGGGAGCTGGATGGGAAGTGGGGCTGCTGGGATAGAACCAGCGCCCATATGGGAACCGGGCGTGCAAGGTGAGGACCTTAACCACTGCGCCACTGCGCCGGGGCCTGTAACTTTTTTTTTAAAGTAAAAAAGTCGTTTTAAACAAAAACCAATTCAGTAGGACATACTCAATTTTAATACTAAGACTTCAGAGTAAATTTGCAAAAAATGGACTAAGGCATACAGAAGCTTTCTTCTCCAAAGGATCATTTATTGTAATATCAGTTGTGAACCATACAAAATTATTACCTTAAAAATTCATCCACTATAGATTTATTGAATTTCAAGTTTGCCTGCAGTTTCCTTGGCCAGCCAAACCAAATGATTTCATGGGTCTTTACAGCCAGACATTAATCACCCCTGTTTATTATACTGAATGGTAATGAACAATATTAACATCTTTACATGTTATAGTTTCAATTAGAAACTAATTCAATTAGAAACTAACCTTAACTAATTATTAAGGTTATAATTCCCGGATTTCTAAAAACATCATATTTACAAGTTACAAATTTTCTCGCTAAAATAATTTGTTAAGTTAGAATAATCATTATTTTTAACATAGTTTACACAATGATTTTAAATAATTTTAAAATTAATATATACATTTATGCATACATAATTTATTTTAGAGCCAGAGAGAAATAGATGAAGAAAGAGAGATCTCCATCTGCTAGTGCACTCCCCACAGGCCCACAGGAGCTAGGCTGGGCCAGGCAGAAGCCAGGAACCAGGAACTCTGTCCAGGTGGCCCACGTGAGTAACAGGAACCTGCATTAGCAGGAAGCTAGGATTGGGAGTAAGAATCAGAGACTGAACCCAAGCACTCTAAGACATAGGTTTCTTAACCAATAAGCTAAATACTCACTCCAGAAATTTTATATTTTTCATAAATTAAAAACCTATTTTAGTTTTATAAGGACTAATGAACTATAATTACTTATTTGTTTTCAAAATCTATAACCAAATAGCATACATATCTTCTACACATTACTTTGTAGTGCACTATAATAAATATGTATTTCTTTTTGTTCTAATTATATTCCTCTGATTTTCTTAAAAGGCTATAGCTTACAAATAAAGCTTAGATAAAATAGATGTTTTAGTAGATTTAGCCCAAAAGCTCCAAAACTTGAAACTAAAATCAAATTTCCAGTTACATGCATAGCCTCCTGTCTTTCCAGAAATATTTTAGATTATTAAAGATCACTCAGTGACATCCTGTAAGAACTAGATCAGTCATGAATGACAAAAAACAATATGCTATTTCAAAGAAACCTACATGTTCAAATGTAAAAATGAACTAATATATCTTTCATTTAGTTGTTTATATCCAGATATAAAAGAAAAACCCAAATGAGATATTTCTTTTGATAACTATGTCATTCACAATTAATGAAAATACCAGCTCATAGCATTCTATGGTTATAATAGTAACCACAGTATAGAACTATTCAAATAAATAAGTAAATGAAGAGTGAACAGACTACACAATTTGGGTTTCTTAAATGTAAGTTTATGTTACTCAGCCATGCTTCTCCATTTCCACAAAAGTCCAAATCAGCTGTGATGCAGGAAGTTCAGCCAGGACACAAAGGGCAGCTTACTATTTCATTAACTACAGAGTAGATGAGGTCACAGCTTTACCCACAATTTCCCAAGCTCTCTTGCCTCCGAGGTAGTACCTTTTCAACTGGTATGGAAGAATCTTTCTAAGAAAACATATGTAGGAAGTTAAGTGCTCTGAGAATGTTTTCAATTTCACAGTTGTCTCCTAGAAAAGAAAAATGATTACAAAATTAAAAATGCTATTGGACAAAAAGGAACTCACACCTCCAGATGTAAAACCAGGAAGACAATTACCAGGACAGTCACGGTATCCTCAGTAATACTCTCAAATAGATGTAGCATTCCTTCTTCAAGGGGGCGGACATAGGACGCATTTTCATGAAGGTACTGGGAGAACTAACAAAGAGGAAAGGAATTGTGAATTAGATCAGTAGAAACCAACAAACACTGACACATTAGTAAATGGATTCACTGAGTTATAAACCTAAACAAATTCTTTCAAAATGTTTTCTGAAAATTTGACATCCCCCTTTGTTACTCCCACACAACATCAAGTCCCCATCCCATTTCAAATCAAGGGAAAAGCAGGAATAACACGACATTTAGGCGTCAGAAGAAATGGGCAAGGACTACTACAATACAACCAGCAGCAGGTCAGCTTTCTTGGTGCCTGCTTCTCCAGAAAGGAGTTAACTAAGCAGGGAGAGGAAGAAACAAAAGGGGGAAAAAAGTTTTTTTCCTGTTCCATGGTTCCCCAAATGGCTACAATGCCAAGGTGGGGTAGAACAATGCCAGGAGCCAGGAGTCAGGAGCTTCATCTGAACCCCTGACATGAATTCAAGAGCACAAGAACTCAGGCCATCCTTGGCTGCATTCCCAGGCGTATGACCAGGGAACCAGATTCGAAGTAGAGCAGCCAGGACTTGAATCAGTGCTCATATGGAATGCTGGTGTCACAGAAGACAACTTTACAAACTACACCACAAGGCCAGTTCCTATCTTCCATTTTTAAAGATTAGGAAACTGAAGCATAGAGAGATTAAATAAATTTCCTAAGGAGATATAGCTAGAAAGTGGCAGAATTAGACTGAGAACCCAAGAAGTCTGACAGAATCCAAGTCTTTGCTACACTAACTGGCACCAATGGACCTACAGGCTTAAACTCTACTCAAGCCCTGTGAATTATTTATGAAAGCATGAAAACAAGAAATAAAAAAGAATCAAGTCAAAAGTTCAAAGCACGCATGATTCATTTCAGGCAGCCATGTTATGGGGCACTAAAGAAGACATATCTATAGCAATAATCCCTCAATTTCCTGCCCAAGGGAGCCACCCTCCAAGAGTCCCTTTGTTTTGGCTTTGTGCACTACTATGTCAACATCGTATCAAGGCTGGTCTATGTGATGAATATGACGGATCTGATAGGACGTGCATCCCCAGACTAATAGCAGGCACTGTGGCTTCCACCTTTTCTCCTGGATCACTCACTTTGGAGGAAGCTGGTAGCCATGTCATGAGAACACTCAAGCAGCCCTATGGAGAGCTGCATGCATAAGAAAGTGAGGACACCAGCCAACAGCCAACACTAACTCATCACACATACAAGGAAACAAATCCCCAATCCAATCTTCATATGAATACAGCCCCCAGCAACACTGTGACTTATATCTTATATCAGAGAGAGTTAGGCAGAAATCCCTCCTGCCCCATTCTGAAACCACAGAAATTGTGACTGCCAATGTTCACTGTTGTGTGTATGTGTGTAAGATTTACTGTTTTTATTTAAAAGGCAGATTCACAGAGAGGAGACAGACAGACAGACAGACACACACACACACACACACACACCTTTCACTCACTAATTCACTCCCTAAATGGCCACAACAGCTGGAACTGAGCTGATCCAAACTCAACAGCCAGAAGCCTCTTTCAGGCCTCCCGCATGCGTGCAGGGGTCCAAGAACCTGGGCTTTCCTACACTACCTTCCCAGGCTGCAAGCAGGGAGTTGGACAACAAGTGAAAGAACTGAGAAAAAAAATGGGTGCCCACAAGGGATGCTGGTACTTGAAGGCAGAGGACTAGACAACTGAGCCATCACCCTGGCCCCAAATGTTCAATATTTTAAGCTATTAAGTGTGGGGGACAATTTATTATACAGCAATATACAACTAATAGACTAACTTTTATTTTATTCTTTCCAGTTAAATAAAAATTGCAAGCTACCTTAAAGTCTTTCAGACTTAGCTGAGGAAAAAAACACAGTAAAATTTAATAATCCTTCCCTCTAAAAGCACATGGGTTGAAGAACGTGATGGTTAAGCCTCCTGTTATTCCTTGTGTAAGCATTACAAGTCCTGAAAATCTCCTCCAGCTCAACTGGATAAGCAGTTTGACTCCCACTCTAAACCCTAGTGGGAAGAACAGACCAACTATATTCCATAGGTCCTTTTTCTTTTAAATAAACCCAATGCTGAAAGTTACACAGTGAGTGCAAACAAGAACAGGGAAAAATGGCACCTTTCATATGTCATCTCTTCACCAAAAGTTAGAGACCTCAAACCTATTTAAAAAAAAAGTCTATGCCTTGGCCTGCACATCTGGGTCTTTTCTTCCCTAATTTATGGCCTTTCTTCTCCTCTTTTAACCTTACTTCTCTTTCCTCCCTTCAAGAGACTTCACATTCCCAGTAAGACAGCTCGCTCACATTTCCTCCCCATCTCCATCCTCCACCCCTCCCCGCAACACCTTCTGCCTTCCTTCCCCAGGATTTTGCTCAGATCTGTCCCTCCCTCTTTACTCTGAAGAAAAAACCTTATCTTACTTCTGTCTGCTTATTCAAACCTTGCCTACTCTTTGAGGTTCATTCATACTCCCAAAGAAACTTTCTCAGACACAGCCACTGACAGCAATCTCCTCCCCCATGATCTCCTACCACTATCCCTTTGAGGTCTGTCAGCTACTCCCTTGTATTTCATTTTAAACTCTTATGTTTGGAATATTTTGTCTTGACGGTAAGGACCATGACTTGATTTTTTCCCATGTAATTGACAGCACTTGCCTGCTTTGCAGAAGTTGTCTGAAAATAAACAACTTCCTAATTTGTTCAGAGCAACAGAATATTTTAGGAGTAAAATTTACCTTTTGATTCAATGGAGATATAGTGTCAATGGCAGAATCAATAGGAAAAATCTGAATCCTCTGTTCTGTATAGGTGTGAAAGTTGAGAAGAGCTGTCACCAGGTCTTGAACAAAAGCCAGGGCCTGCCCGGCAATATCCCGCATCTTTAGCTTTAAAATGAAAAGCACATAGTTCAAGCCAACTGTGAAATTGCTATCTTAAAACAACTTTATTAAATCTGCACTTAAAGACAACACATTAGTCTGCTATGGTTATTCCTTAAACTCATTTACTCTCACTTGAGTTTTAATAGCCTAAGTAAATTTTTTAAAATCACCAGTTTGGGCAGATATACATAATCCATTTAACCTAGATTAATCAAGTGCAAGGTACACAAACCTAGAAGAGAAGCATAGCTGAAAAAAGTACTGCATTTCACACCGAAATTCTAATGTTATGAGTTAATACAGACAGCAGAAATCTGTACTACTTAATGAATTTCAATAATAAGTAAGCTATACAATTTAAAGAAAAGGATGAGAAAGTAAAGTTAAGCACATTATTTAGAACAAAAAGCAAAGGCCCCAACAACTAATTGCTGTTTCTAGGAAAGCCTGACAAACATGACTGACAATAAAAATCCACACTTCATCCTTTACCTGATGTCTCCTGTTGTGGAGTGGAACGTTGAGCGCATTATATTGACTGTACTCTACAAAACAAAAATGTTGGATAATAAAGCTCAAATCTGTACTGACGGAGAAACAAATGCAAAAATAAAAGCTCTGCATCAAAATCAGCTTTATATAAGAATCTGAAATGATCAGAATAACAGAATTTACACAAAAGCGGCAGTTTCTCAGATAAAGCAATATTTCTACCGTTTTAAATTTCAATGTATGAAAACAAACAATTTGTATATTTCCATTTCTAAGAAATCAATTCAAACACTTCCTTAGGATTTCTTATCAAAGATTTCTTAAAAAGACTCATTTCTTGGTATCATCAGCCATTCTCCTTTCCAAAATAATTCCACACAAAACTGCCACATTATCATCCAAGAATGGGTCTGTTTTCCTAACACTACAAAACTGAAAACTATCCTGTCTGCTCTGCTGATGCCAGTAACTATCAATCCTAGCATTCCTGGGACAGTTTCAGTCTCTTTGTTATTGTTCTCACTAACCTAGAGTCTGTCACCAACCTGACAGCTTCCTAACACCTGGCCTCACACTTCTTCAACCTCTTCCTTTTGAAGATCTTTGTCTCTATTCATCTCTTTGTCTCTACTCATCTCTACTCACTACTTTTTATCCTTTTCAACCAGCTCTCTACCTAAGTGTTTAATCAGAATCTCCAGGGCCTGGCACCATGGCCTACCAGCTAAAGTCCTCGCCTTGAACGTGCCAGGATCCCATGTGGGCACTAGTTCTAATCCTGGCGGCCCCGCTTCCCATCCAGCTCCCTGCTAGTGGCTTGGGAAAGCAGTCAAGGACAGCCCAAAGCTTTGGGACCCTGCACCCATGTGGGAGACCCGGAAGAAGTTCCTGGCTCCTGGCTTTGGATCAGCACAGCACCGGTCGTTGCGGTCACTTGGGGAGTGAATCATAGGATGGAAGATCTTCCTCTCTGTCTCTCCTCCTCTGTGTATATCTGCCTTTGTAATAAAAAATAAATACATCTTTAAAAAAAGAATAAAAAGAATGACCTTCAAGCACCAACATCTGAAAGCCTGTGTGCCATCTAACCCATTTCTCTGAACTTGCCCATCACTGGGTCTCCTGTCCCATCAATCCTTTGCCTTTCTCTCTTCAGCCCTCTGAGCATTCCCTGTTTTGCCTCCCAGCCTGATCCATCACTTCAGTAATATGTTTACTAACACCAAATCACGTTAGGACCTACTAAAACACACTCTGCCTAAAATTCACAGGCGCTTCAATTCTCCTCAGCAATCTGTCAAGGCATTGCTGCAACCCTTTCACACTTCCCATGAAATCTACCACAAATCTTTTCCATTTTAAGCACCAAATACCAGTCAGTTCTCTCCTCCCCAGCACCACAGATGGAATAGCCTCCCTCCCACTATGCCATGAAAAATGCAGCCAAAAATTAACAGGCTTCTTGCACTCCTCCACTGCCATCTCAGAGTCCATGGCTCGCATGTCCTTGTCTCGCCAACCTCCTCCTCGGCCCTTAACAACAGTTTCTCTTGACCAGCTCAGGGGAGTCCATCAGTCATCCCTTCCCTCCTTGGTTTGGTCTCACTTCTCTACCAATAAAATACATCTGTTGCAGCTGATTTAAGTCTGTCTGTCCACTAACTTCTTCCCCTTTGCTTGTATCACAATTCCCTGCTCCCACCCCTCACCCACTTGCTATACACACAACTTTTCCTTTGGCTTCACTCATCTATCAGGCTCTCACCCTTCTCTGTTCCTTTCATTCCTACTTCCTCAGCACTCACCTCTAATCCTTGTACTAGCCATCTGTTGTCTACCTCCAACCTGCACAGAAGTGCTTAGCTCAAAGATCACAAGTCTTCTTGAAGTTACCAAATCCAGTCACCATCATCATCATCCTCTCTGATTTTTCCCAGCAGTATGTAAAACAGACCAGCACCATTAAGCCGAAAACACTTCCTCCCCAAGTTTCTTGCCAATACATCCAAGGACACTACACAGGTCTCTCTGAGTTGTGCACCCCTCATTCTCATCTCTCCCAACAAGGAGACTCATCCGTCCAACAAGGTTAACATCAGTTTCTTTCCCAAGGTTGTCCAGAACATTAAACAACCGTGTTAATCTTATCACCCTTCCCATAAGCCTGCTTCTCATCTGCCTCTATTATCTCCGGCACTTGTGCTACCGCCATTCTCATTACTGCCTCCTCCCTTTCCTCTGCCTCTCGGAAAGGACCAAGCTATTCTTTCTCCTTCCTCAAGATCTTCTGCAAATCTCCCTGTACCCCATCACCATGACAACCAGGCTCGAGCCTCTGTAATAGCACACTAAAACTATCATCACAACAGTCTGAGTCTCTTCTCCCATTTCAGAACAGTGTATACCTTGCTGCCAGATTAATCTTGTGAGTACCCAAATCTGACTATGACATTTCCTGTCTCAAAAGCAATAGTCATGTGAATCAAGTCCCAATAAATTGGCTTGGAATTACAGACTCCAGTTCTACCTTCCCCTTCCAACTTCACCCTCAGCGCCCTCCACATACCTCCTTACCTCGCCTCCTGTTACATTTACTATTCTTTAACACCCTGGTTACACTGTGCCACCATACCATACTTCACCTAACTCCTTCGCTAGTATTTCCTAACCTCCTCTCAATAAAACTCGTTTTCCTACCCAGGGTCAGTTCAAAACTCACTTCTTCTAGAAATGGCATTTCCTTCTCAAAACATTTTAAACTTTTCTATATCTGAGTCCTATTAGATTATCAATTCCTTACAAGCAGAAATTTTCGTTATGAAGTTTAACATTGCCTGTGCCACCTATCCTTGCAGGCACCAGCATTATACTGTAGCAAGTAAAGCCACCTCCTATAATGCTGGTATAATATGTAGGCAGCAGTTCAAGTCTCATCTGTTCCATTTTCAACCCAGTCGCTGCTAATCACCTGCAAAAAGCAGTGGAAAATGGCCCCAGTGCTTGAGCCCCTGCACCCATGTAGGACACCTGAAAGAAACTCCTGGCTCCCAGCTTCAACCTGGCCTAACCTAAGCCCACGTGGCCATTTGGAGAGTGAACCAGTGAATGGAAGATATTTCTGTCTCCCTCTTTCCTCTCTGTAAGTCTTTCAAAGATACAGATAAATCTTTTAAAATAAATAAATACATGACTGGTACTAAAAGCATAATACCCCACATGTGGTGTAATGATAATCTGAAACCAGTGGACAAAAGGATAAATCCAATATAGAGAACTTGGTATTACAAGCTGAAGATTAATTCATGCAAAGAAAAATAAAAAGCCAAGGTTTCAAATCCAGCAGATCAACATACACCAGTGACATTTACATTAATATAGAAGCTAGATGTTATGCTGTTAAAAGGGGGCAATTTAGGTTTTTAATATAATAATGACATATTCTGATTTAGTGTTCTATCAAACTGCTTTTTTGGGCCCGGCACAATAGCATAGTGGTTAAAGTCCTCGCCTTGCATGCGCTGGGATCCCATATGGTTGCCAGTTCTAATCCCGGCAGCCCTGCTTCCCATCCAGCTCCCTGCTTGTGGCCTAGGAAAGCAATCGAGGATAGCCCAAAGCTTTGGGACACTGCACCCATGTGGGAGACCTCGAAGAGCTACTGGCTCCTGGCTTTGGATCAGCATAGCATTGGCCGTTGCAGCCGTTGCGGCCGCTTGGGTAGTGAATCATCGGACGGAAGATCTTCCTCTCTGTCTCTCCTCCTCTCTGTAGATCTGCCTTTCCAATCAAAATAAGTAAGTTTAAAATAAAAACTGCTTTTTTTTCTAGTTTATTCTCATTCATTCTCTCTCTCTCTCCATCTCAGATCTTCCCTAACAAAAACCTAGAAACAAAAACATTTAATTTCAGGAGAATGTTGTAGAAAAGTAGCTTAAGCTGCCACCAGCAATTATCAGAGCACCAGTTCAGCTCCTAGTTGATCCACTTTCAATCCAGCTCCCTTCTAATCTGTCTAGAATATTGGTACTTGGTCCCTTACCACCTACGTGGAATTCCAGGCTCCTGGCTTCAACCTGGTCCAGCAACAGCCATTTGCAGCCATACAGGAATTAATCAATGGACAGAACATTTCTCCTTGTCTGTCTCTGTCTCTCTCCCTCCATCCTTCTGTCACTATTTTTCAAATAAAAATCTTCTAAAAAAAAGCTAATTATAATCATAATAACAAAAAAAGGAATTCTGTACTCATTTAAATATAAGTTCTAAAATCTAAGTGTTGCCAGCCGCATCTGTATGTACTGGCCACATGCCGTACCCAAAATGGCGCCGGCCAGAAAAGCCACACCTTGGTTCCTGGTGACGTAGCTTTCGCGGTACTGCGCAGGCGCCTAGCGCATGCGCAGTGAGCTGAGGCGTGGCCGGCACATGAACACTGGGACTGACGAATCCAGTCGCCCAGGACCCTGCGTAATCATGACGCCGACCTATCATCGGCGGAGGCGGGGCCAGTCAGCACATAAGAGCAGACAGCCTGCCGGGGTCGGGGCCTTTCCCTCCTCATCTTGGTGCGCGCAATAAAGATTACCACAGAAGACTTCACTCGCTTCTGCGTCTTATTGCGGGGCGATAAGACACGTGGGCGCGACATCTAAGTATGTCCTTTGCTTTCAAAGAAGTACCTTCTTAAATTCATTATTAATGATAACAAATTTGGCACATATTACACACTTTAATGATTTCTATTCTTTTTGGGGAAAAAAAAAGATTTTGCTACTTTTAGGAGCAGAGATTACTAGACCACTGCCAAGATGAACAGGAAACAGGGCCACTAGAGTAACTTCCTAACTGCCATGGGGATTGAGCAAGAGCCAGGAAGACCACCTCTGACAGTTACCCTCCACAATGACCAACAACTTATCTTGTATCAGTATTCAACTACTTTGAGTATAGGTTGTTCTTTAACTTGGGATAAGATGATGGTTTGCAATAAAAAAAAAAAAATAATGGATTTGTGGTTCTTCAAAGAAGTATGGAATTGTAGCAGCTCACATAGCAATTTTAAGTTTCCCTATCAAACAGAAAAGTTTTTCAAAAGCAATCAAACAACAAAAAGAACCCAACCCTCCTTCTCATCCCTAACAGATGAGAAGTTATTTTAACCAGTTGGCCATCCCAGAGAGGTTCAAAGTCGCAAATAATAGAAACATAATACCTACTTGTATCATTAAAAGGTACTTTTTCATTGATGATTGACAAGGATTCCTCTAATCTACCTGACAAATCTTCATGAAGATTCTTTAATTGTAATTGACTGAAAGAAAAAAAATACAAACTACATTATTATCACCCAGACACTGACTATTCGGTTGATTGCTAATTCACCAGTTGGTACCAGGCTTTCAGAAAATTGTGATAATCTTGGTGGAGAGTTGTTAAAGGACAGAGATAAGAAAACACAGGGTCTCAATTCGAAAGCCCCTGAGACTCCTGCAAAATAACATATAGATCTGGAAGAATTTAGCACAGCCTCAGTGTTATATACATACATATGCACAAAGTCAGAATGAACTCAAAGCCACTCCAAAATTATAAATTTTCACTTTCTGGAATATAAATACTCAAGAAACACTGTAAAATCATCTTAGAGGATCATAATCAGAGTTTTTTTCCCCCCTGGGAACCCAAAAGCTAGTAATTTTTGGTTCTGATTCAACTATACACATAAATAACGCTGAAACTACATAATTCTATTGGTACTATTAAACTGAAATAAGAAATTTGTGTGAATGATCTATTTAAAGTGTAAAATATTATTTTATTCACCAAATAAACTATTATAACATATTTACCCCACACTGACAAGTTCAAGATTTAGAAATCTCAGGGGCAGCGTTGTGGTGTGGTAGGATTAGCCACCCTTTGCAATACCAATACCCAATACAGGTGTCAACTCAAGTCCTGGCTGTCCTACTTTCAATCCAAATCCCTGAAAATGCATCTGGGAAAGCAAAGAAAGGGCCCATGCTAAGGTGGGAGATATGGAGGAAGCTCTAGGCACTTGGCTCTGGCCTGGCCCAGTTCCAGCCACTGGCTCTCTGGCTCTCTCAGCAGATGAAAGCTTGCTTGCTTCCTTCGTCTTTCTCTCTCTCTCTCTCAGTAGTCACAAGCTCACTCTCTCTTCACAACTCTGCCTTTCTAAATAAGTAAATACTAAAATTGAAAAAAAAAATTAAGAAATAGCCAAAGAAAATCATATAATCTCTCAATCAGAATGTGTTTTGGCAAGGTTGACACAATGATTATTACTAAGTTTTCCTGACTGGGTCTATGACAGGACCATCACTATAAGGCAGTATGAAACAGGGCATTGGCCCCAGAACATTATCTGCCATAGCCCAAAAAATCTGCAGGCTGAAAAACCAATGCCTAAGATGTCAGGGCAAGACATGGATCCCAGAAGCGGAAAGGACCCTGGAGAGTTCTTGCTTGGGTTCGAAGATAGTTCAGACAGAAGTACGTTAAAACCCAAAGTCAGGTCTTACGGTTCCTCCAGCAGGGCCCCCTGGGATTCATGCTTCCACATACCATTCTTCTGTTCGAAGTCGACACTCCTTGGCCTCCTTTTCTAGAGTCTGAGATTTTACCTGAATTTGAGAAAGCAAAGCATATGGCTCAGGCTACAGATGGGAGCTCACTTAGGAGACACTGCAGGCCACACATGTGCCTGGAATGATTGTGTTGTATAAACCACACAGGAGATTTAGAAAATCTTTAGTTACTTTCCAGCATGCTCTCGCGGTGGTGCTTACCTCGAGTTTAGCTTTATCATTCTGCAGTTTCTCAATGGTTTCCATGTACTTCCGAGTCAGGCCATCAACCACAGCTTGATGCTGGGCTGCCTCTGTCTCCAGAGTGGCCAGCCGACTCCTCAGCTCAGCTTCCACGTGCTTGTGCTGCTCATCTGCTTCAAAAAACTGAAAAGAAAAGGCCATTTTCTCTTCTCTCAATGTCTTAATATATTGAAAGGAGAAAGCAGCAGCAGACTTCTCACTGTGTTAAGCCCACATAGGCCTTATCTCACTTGATCCCCACAGTATGGTAGAGCTGGGACTATTGTTCTCTCTCTTTCACAGAAGTGGAAACTGAAGCTTAAAGGGGTTATGTAACTTTTCTAATTTCTCACAGCTAAAATATAGCAGAAAGGAGACTTAACACAGGAAGCATATCCCAAAGGGTATGCTTCCTTCCTCTCACTCTCCTGAATTACAAATTTCAACAGTTGCTGGCATACAAAACATTCAACTGGTCAGAGTATTGCTTTTCTATTTGGCTAACTTCTACAATTTGAAAAAAATTAAAATTACTACTCTTTCCTGAATGGCAAATCCAATAATAAGAATTTTCAGACTGAGACAAAATACCAAAGTCAAAAGTTTATTCTTTTAATGCTTGCAAAGCCTAAGAATTAGTATTTATCATTTTCTACCACTTGACAATTAAAAAAATTAAAAAGGTAGATAGACTTCACTATGACATGACTCTTGCTCAAATTTGGGGGACAGGCCAAAAAAGGCAAACATTCATTCTCTTCCTAAATATCTGCAGGGCCCAGGAAGCTGGGTTTGAAAGGCCTAAAAGAGGGAGCCAGGAACCCAGTTACTTCAGTCACCACCGCTGTGGTCCAGAGTCCATATTAAAAGGAAATTATAGTCAAGAGCCAGGACTAGGACTCAAACCTAAGTAACTCCAATATAGACATGGACATCTTAACTGGTACACTAAGCACTGGGCGAAGTGCCTGCCCCTCTGATTTTTCAGCACTCCATAAATATCTGAATGCCTGCCTTGGGCAAGTCTCTGCACTGAGGCTGGGCACTCACAAAACCCACTGGGCCCAGGTCTTCAGAGGCCTCACATTCAAACAAGGGTATACACAGAAACCAACTAAACAACAAGTTGAAAAACAAACTACTTATTAACAGGTCTCTAACCAGATGATCTACTCAATCATTTCCCGTATAAAATAGTGCCCAGTATATTTTTGTATTATTATAAAACTATGCTACTACACTGAGTAAATAATATACGGTTATTTCAAAGAACATATTAACATATGTGTGAAGTTTAAGAAATGAAAAACAACAAATTTCATATTTAAAAGACCAGAGGAGACATTAGGATACCCAAACAAACAGACACAGTGTTGTGGTGCAGGGTCCTAGCTGCTCCACTTCACAACCAGCTCCTGTTAACATGCCTGGGAGAGCAGCAGAGAATGGCCCAAGTGCTTGGGCCCCCACCACCCACGGGACATGGGGCACCCAGAAGGAGTTCCAGGTTCCTGGTTTCAACCTGCAGCAGCTCCAGTCATTATGGCCATTTGGGGAGTGAACCAAAAAAGTCAAAGATTAATCTCTTTCCTTCCCTCCCTCTGTTATTCTGCCTTTCAAATACATAAATCTTCAATTCAAAATTACCTGCAAATACAGAAAACATTCTTATCTGCATTGGTTTGTTCCACATTGTAAATCACACAAGCCAAGCCACTTTTTACTTCATATGGAAGAACAAAACATTGTCCTCACTTGTATATGCAATCGTTCATTCTCTTCTATCTTCTTTTGCAGATCTTCATCAAAGACACTCTTCTGCTCTTGACTCAACTGAGAAGAAGATTCTCCACTTTTCTGGTGGAAAGAATAAGTTATGTCCACATAACTTTCATCCTTTAGAGAAAATGCTAAGGTACAGAGATTCTCTATCACCTTAGTAGCTCGTTTCTTCTATGTGTTCACCATTCTCAAACAATCCTGCAAAAGGTATACAGTCCATCATTTAACTTTTCCTATGTGTTAAGAGTTGGAACTACAAATATTGAAATTGGCAGGAAAATTTGAGAGACAGGAATTAAAGAGAGGAAGCTCAGATGCTTTTCCAGATGAATTCAGGAGTATTTCTGTTGGGGACAGATCCAGAGAGTCAGTAATATAACCAATGTCACTGCAATGCAAGTGCTCCATATTAAACATGAGAATTTTAGGAATTCCATGAGCACAAGTTACTAACCTCGTTTAAGAAACTGCAATAAGTTATGTAACAGAACTCAAACATATACATTTATATAGTTCATATAAATCTCTAAATTTGGAATTGATTTTTAATACTTTAAAAACGTTAGTATAAACAAAAAAGCTCAAAGATTATGAACAACCTCTTCCTCTTTTGCTAATATCAACTTTTTCTACACATAAGAGCAGCACTAGTTAAAAGATCTAACAATGAGCACTTGTTTTCATGTCATCCATAGATGTGAGATAACTGAAGGGGCAGTCCAACAATGCAAACTGTGTCAGACATCAGTCACTATCTTTCTCTGATTTTTTTGTCACCTATTGATCCAAAGTAAATCAGTGATTAACAAATCCTTTGAAAATGGAGCAGCTATAAAAAGTATTAAACAGGGCCCGGTGTGGTAGCCTAGCAGCTAAAAGTCCTCACCTTACATACACCAGGATCCCATATAGGCACCAGTTCTAATACCAGAGGCCCTGCTTCCTATCTAGCTCCCTGCTTGTGGCCTAGGAAAGCAGTTGAGGACAACCCAAAGCCTTGGGACCCTGCACCCGAGCAGGAGACCCAGAAGAGGCTCCTGGCTCCTGGCTTCAGATTGGCTCAGCTCTGGCCACTGCAATCATTTGGGGAGTGAATCATTGGATGGAAAATCTTCCTCTGTCTCTCCTCCTCTCTATATATCTGACTTTCCAATAAAAATAAAATAAATCTCTTTTGAAAAACTATTAAATATCCATTATGTTTTGGAACACAAGATATGCATAAAGAACACGGATGAATAACCTATCCGGCAGCTTTGGAAAACAATTAAAATGAAGTCATAAGCATTACGCCTAAGCCTCTACTGAACAGTTCGAGGAGGAGAACATGTTTGAAAATGAGATGCCTGCTCCTTCCCAAAGACCTTTTAGAATTTCCAGGACCGCATATTTTGACAATGTTTCCTAAGTAATTCTGACCCGAGGACACACCTGTGACAGGCTCCCTTTTCCTCCCTTTTCTGGAACACTGCTAGTGCCTCCTTCCCTGGGGAAATGCACAGGAGATGGTACCAGCAATCAGAGTGACTGTCACTTTGTGGCAAATCTGATCCCAGCTTGTAAAATAAATCTCACATCCTCATTTTTCTGATGAAGAAACAGACTGTAAGGTTAAAACATTTCCTACAGTCACAGATTTATAAATGGCAGGCAAAGAATTCAAGCCTGGGCTGAACTACAAATCCAGTGCTCTCCCCTCAGCATTAAACTTATTCAGTCACTGTGTGCCTTCTTTCCTTCTGGTGAACCTATTGCCATTGCTTCAATCCTCACATCTGAACACACAAACGCAAGACTAAAAGATCTACCACCTCAATCATAAGCCCTACACACACACACACACAAAATGAGGAAGGATGCAACTCCTTAATCACAGTTTAAAAACAAAAGTAGTTGGCCTGGTGCTAGGAACTCCATCTGGATCTCCCAGGTTGGTGCAGGAGTCCAAGTATTTGAACCATTTTCTGCTGCTTTCTCAGGCACATTAGCAGGGAGCTGGGTCAGAAGTGCTGCCGCTAGGCCCGGAATGTAGCATAGTAGCTAAATTCTCACCATGCATCTGCCAGGATTCCATATGGGCACAGGTTCATATCCCAGCTGCTCCACTCCCTGCATATGTCCTGGGAAACAGTAGGGGATGGCACAGAGCCTGGGGCCCCTGCACCTGCGCTGGAGACCCAGAAGAAACTTCTGGCCTCGGATCAACTCTTGGGGAGTGAGTCAGCAGACAGAAGATCTTGCTATCATCTATCCTTTTCTCTATAAATCTGCTTTCCAATAAAAATAAATAAATCTTAAAAAAAAAAAAAGGAAGTGAGAACCCTGCCTCATCAAATAAAACATTAGGAAAAACATTTATTTTTAAGCCCCAGGACAACTGCCCTTATAACCATAAGAACAAAATGAAAAAATACATCTGCAGTAAACATGAAAATCAAAACTGAAATCTTTAAGTATTTTAATGATTACAGTTACACTTGAACAATCTCTCTCTCACTTTATCTGTCCTATTTTGGGTTACTAAAGTCCAAGTATAATTAAGAGATGTCAATATTTTGACCTATTTGAGCTATTCTATCAACTACTCTCAGCCACTGAATCAACAATATATTATGTTTGCTCCTAATGAATTATTTAAAACAGATTTTCTGGGCCCAGCACAGTGACCTAATGGTTAAAGCCCTCGCCTTGAATGCTCTGAGATCCCATATGGGCGCCGGTTCTAATCCTGGTAGCTGTGCTCTCCATCCAGCTCTCTGCTTGTGGCCTGGGAAAGCAGTCGAGGACGGCCCCCAAAACCTTGGGACCCTACAACCACATGGGAGACCCAGAAGAGGCTCCTGGCTCATGGCTCATGGCTTCGGATCAGCTCAGCTCCAGCCATTGCACTCACTTGGGGAGTGAATCATAAGATGGAAGATCTTCCTGTCTCTCCTCCTCTCTATATATATCAATAAAAATAAATAAATCTTTAAAAAAAATAAACACCAGATTTTCTGATGAAAATGATCCTAATACTTAGCATGAATTGTTAGTAAAAGACGTCCAACATGTAATAATGGAACATTAGAGAATCCAGCAGTAGGGTCTTCTGTTCAAACCAGGATGACCTGTACATGTGTGCTCCTCACAACACAGTCACATTAAGTTGCTTTTATTTGACCTACCTTGTTTTTCTTGCCTCGAGGTTCACTTACAGCTAATTCATCTTGAAGTAGTTCTACCCTCTTGGCAAGCTGCAGATTCCGAAATGTCAAACTGTCCATTTCTTGCTGTAGCTTTCTCAATGACTGATCTTTCATTTTCAGTTGTTCCTGTAGCAAAAAGAACACAGACCATTCTTCAGAGTTTAGCCTTAAGTTTAGAAACAATAAAAGAAACTATTGTTTCTATTTCATCAAAATATAACCAAAAGCTCTTGTTTCAGTGAATTTGAGCTGCATATTATTTCAGTGTTTACAATGTCTTTAGCTATTTTGTGACAGAAATCACCTTTTTGGTAAAACCAAGTAAATTTATAAATAAAATAAAAAGAAAAAATATCCTGAAGTTGTAGATCATTATCAACTTAAAACATGTACAAGGATATGTTGTTAAATCTAAGACAGTAAACAGACACAAAGCCTGAGGCTACAAATTCATATTCTTGAAGTTTTCAGAATTTCTGATTCATTGATAATACTCCTCAGTGGGCAGGACTCAGAGGAAAAATATTTGTATTTCTTTTTCCTACAAATGCTTTCTGAATTTTAAATCAACCAAAATGAAGTTTTTTTTCAATGTATTTGGTTTTTCTTTACGTCTTCTAACTTGCCAAAGATAAAAGTCACCATTATCATAATGCAAAAATACTTTCACATTATTTTACATAAATTCACTTCTCTTCATGTTTTATTATTTATTTTCATTTTATTCAAAAGTCAGAGACACAGATAGAGATCTTCCCTTCACTAGTTCACTCCCCAAACGCTCAATACAGGCAGAGCTGGGCCAGCTGGAAGCCAGGGGAGCAGACCTCCATCTGAGTTTCCCATAGGGTGCCCAAAACTCTTGAGGCTTTACCTGCTGCCTCCTGGGGTGGATTAGAAGCAGGAGTGGATTAGAAGTGGAAAAGCCAGAATCCAAACTACCAAATTCTATACACAATGAAGACACATCTCACTCACTGTTCCATATACGTAACGTATATTCACTTAAAAGTTAAATGAAAATTGGAGCTTGCAGCAGGCTAATCCCCTGCGTGCAGTGCCAACATCCTTTATGGGTGCTGGTTTCAGGCCTGGCTGTTCCACTTTCTGAGCCAGTCTCCTGCTTCAGGCCAAGGAAAGCAACAGAGGATGGCTCAAGACTGAAGGCCCATGTACCACATGAAAAACTCTGAAGAAGCTTCTGGCTCCTGGCTTCAGATCAAGTCTGGCCATTGCAGCCATCTGGAGAGTGAACCAACAGACTAAAGATCTGTGTCTCTTCCTCTCTCTTTCTATAACTCTGACTTCCAAGTTAAACAAATAAAATGAAAATAATAAAAAGGTCTCCTAATAAACTAAAAATTTGGGAATAGTTAAAAAAAAAGTTGGAGGGAAACAAAAACAAAATCTAGAAGCTGTTAAAGACACTTCTTCTGCTGTTCATTCTATACTTGTAAGAAACCTAAACTACAGAGAAATGGTCTATACTTATGACATTTTCAAGTTTGTACTCATTGATTACCAAAAACAAAAAGCCACATGCTATCTTTTAAGAAGTGCACTTTTGGGCCCCGGCGCGGTGGCGCAGTGGTTAAGGTCCTCGGCTTGCACACACCGGGATCCCATATGGGTGCCAGTTCTAATCCCGGCAGCCCCGCTTCCCTTCCAGCTCCCTGCCTGTGGCCTGGGAAAGCAGTTGAGGACGGCTCAAAGCTTTGGGACCCTGCACCTGCGTGAAAGACCTGGAAGAGGCTCCTGGCTTCGTATGGGCATAGCATTGGCCATTGCGCTCACTTGGGGAGTGAAATCATTGGATGGAAAATCTTCCTCTCTGTTTCTCCTCTCTGTATATCCGCCTTTCCAATAAAAATAAAAATAAATCTTTAAAAAAAAAAGAAGTTCACTTTTATTACTTTCATTAAAATAATTATAAACCGGGCCCCAGCGCAGTGGTGCAAGTGGTTAAGGTCCTCACCTTGCACGCCCGGGATCCCATATGGACGCCGGTTCTATCCCAGCAGCCCCGCTTCCCATCCAGCTCCCTGCCTGTGGCCTGGGAAGGCAGTCGAGGACGGCCCAAAGCTTTGGGACCCTGCACCCACGTGGGAGACCCAGAAGAGGCTCCTGGCTTCGGATCGGCATAGTATCGGCCGTTGCGCTCACTTGGGGAGTGAATCATCGGACAGAAGATCTTCCTCTGTCTCTCCTCTCTGTAAATCTGCCTTTCCAATAAAAAAATAATAAAAATAAATCTTTAAAAAATAATAATTATAAACTTAAGAAGAGATCAGGTTTTAGAGAATAGATCATTTAGCTATACTGAAACAGCAACATAAAAACTTCAGGCTGGGCCCGGCGCGGTGGCACAGTGGTTAAGATCCTCGCCTTGCACGCCCGGGATCCCATATGGGCGCCGGTTCTATCCCGGCAGCCCCTCTTCCCATCCAGCTCCCTGCTTATGGCCTGGGAAAGCATCGACCGTTGCACTCACTTGGGGAGTGAATCATCGGAGGGAAGATCTTCCTCTCTGTCTCTTTTCTCTGTATATCCGCCTTTCCAATAAAAATAAAATAAATCTTAAAAAAAGAAAACTTCAGGCTAGTGTCAGTATCTATTGACATTATTTGTATATTGAGAGCAGTACTACAGGGATGTTACAATATGCTCCCATTAAATATGAAAGCAACTTTCTACTGTTTGCTAATTAGGTCTTTCGCTTTTATTTCAAGTTCAAAGGTAAACTTAGACCCAGTCCATGTTCAAATCATCACATGTCAAATCAATAGTACTCATTGAAGAAACAAATCCAATAAAATCAAATGCTTACTGTGCTAGAGGACCTCAAATCAATCACACCTAGCAAAACAAGCACATTGCTGTACTGTAATTACAAAGACCACTGGAACAAATAGAAAAGTGAAAAATTTCTTTTCTATAATTACTTATCACTAGCTAATTAATGCTTCAGCCCTTAAGCAATGATTATTTTCTAAAGACATCTATTGCAACCTCTCTAAACCCTGGTTTCTGCAACAGAGATGAAAATATTATTGTTGAAGACACTAAAATGAGATAACAGATACAATGCACTTAGCATAAGGCCTATTGGAATGCAGTGAGTGCTCAATAAAACCAGCTACCACAATCACCACTGCCATTACTGTTATCACAGTGCTAGTACCCCAGTCATGAAGTTTATCCAATCAACCAAGAGCAGGGGAATGTCAGAACCCAGAGCCAGAGTCAGTGTAGGCATGCTGCCAACATCTCAATGCCTAACTTCAACGCCTGATGCTACTTCCTGCTAACGCACATCCTCAGAGCTAGCAGCCATGGCTCAAGCTAACTAGGATCCTGCCACCCAGCCACATAGGAGACCAGACTGATTTTCCAGCTCCCAACTTCAGTTTAGCACAGCTCTGGACATTGAGGGCCACCAATAAGAGTTTTCTCTCTGAGTCTCAAATAAATAGATGAAAATTAAAAAAAAAAAAAATAGCAGGCTACTACGACAAGATAGGAAACACTTTTTCCAGTATTGAGACATATTTTTCCCAGTAATAGGCTTTAAACATTAGCAGCGATAATGATCATTTCTTCACTGACTTCAATAAAAGAACAACTTAATAGTAAATTCTAACTATACTCTTGGCTGGGGTGCAGAGAGCTTTGCAAGTGTGGATGAGGCAATGAAGAACATCTTAGCCCTGAGAAGGTAAGAGCCACTGAAGAAGCTGCTCTCACAGACTTCTCTAGGATAATGTCCAACACTGGCTAAGTGAACAGACGTATTTCTGGATCTTAATCATTTGTACGAACCCACCTAGAACATCTCATTAATTGGGGGTTGTTCTAGAAGGAGATTAGGGCAAAAGGAATCTTAATCCTAATTAGGAATCCTAATCCTAATTCCAATTCTGTTAGAACAGAGAAGAGGAAGCAAGTGAGAGAGAAAGAGTGCAGCAGGCAGTATACTGACTCGATACTTGGCCTGCAGGGAATCCATATCCTAGAATTTATTCATTTAAAAATACCACTAAGCAATGTTTATTACATGCCTATTAGAATGATAAGGAAATAAATTCCTTTATTTTCTATTCAATTTCTTTCCTAAGTTACAAAAGGTGCTGATGTTATCACTGAAAAGTGTCCTGACTGAGGCCCAGCATGATGGCTCAGTGGCTAAATCCTCGCCTTGCACATGTCAGGATCCTATATCGGTGTCAGTTTGTGTCCTGGCTGCTCCACTTCCCATCCAGCGCTCTGCTTATGGCCTGGAAAAGCAGCAGAGGACAATCCAATGCCTTGGGACCCTGCACCCATGTGGGAGACCCAGCAGAAGCACTCAGCTCCTGGCTCCTGCCTTCAGATAGGCTCAGGTCTAGCCATGCAGCCATTTGGGGAATGAACCAGAGGATGGAAGACCTTCCTCTCTGTAAATATGCCTTTCCAATAAAAAATAAATAAATCTTTAAAAAAAAAAAGTGTCCTGATTAACACGTTACTATGAAATAGCCCATCTAAAGGTAAGACTAATGTACTAAATGATTCACACATTTAAACTGATTTATGAGAAATGCTGAGGATACAATATGATTTATATCAGATTCCTGATAGTATTGTCCAGTGATGGTGACAGATACAAAGCCCAATTAATCCGAACGAGTGCAACTAAATAAAGCATACATATGGAGAAATGTATTAAAGCCAAATAATACTGCTCTGTAATTTTTAGTTAAGGGAAAAAAACACCACATCCATACCTAAGGAACTGGGAAAGTTTAAAAAAAAAAAAAACCATCATCCCCAACCCTAGTGAATCAGTATCAGAGTTGGGACTTTAACCCAGAAAAACAGCTGAATTCCCTTGGAACTTTGAGCACCATCAAATGCTAAGTAGCAGTTCTCACAACACAAAGATCCCACTGCATACCTTCAGAGCAGCAGAATTTGCTTGTTCATCTACCACACCTTTTTTCAGGACCTGATTCTGAGCCCGAAGCTGAAAACAGAGAAAGCAATAATTATTTTTTAAATGTAAAGTAATCTGTTATAGCAAGAAAAGCACTTACAATTACTTCAGAGGAATCATTCATTTATAAAACAAGGAGACACTAGCCCTGAAGAGGACTGGAGATGTGACAGCACACCACTTTACAATCAAAGACACACAGGCTAACCTCCCCTAAGGACAGAGAATTAATCAGTGTCTAAACTGGAATTAAAATCCAAATCTGACTTCTGGTGCATTGTTCTTCCTGTGGAACTAAGTCATAGTTCTAAGCAAAAACTAATACAATAAACACATGGTTCAAAGTAAACCGATCTCCTCAAAATTCCAGGGTACCTATTCATTTGTAAAATACATGCAACTATACGGAAAAACAAACTGTGGATCATCAACATACCCAACAGGATACCATCCTAATATTACACGTCAAATGTCACCACAGACAATGGCCTTGGGAATAGCAGACATGTAGTCAGGCATTAGCTGAAGCAGGATACAAATGCAGCTAAGGTGGCTCCATTTAAAAATTACACGGCAGAGAGGACAGTGTGATGGCTCAACAGACTACTTGGAAGGCACTGCACTGTCTTTCATCACTTCATCTATTCCTCAGAATCCTAGGAAGAGGGTACTATAGCTCTATTTTTTTTTTAAGATTTATTTATTTTTATTGGAAAGGCAGATATACGGAGAGGAGGAGAGACAGGGAGGAAGATCTTCCATCTGCTGATTTGCTCTCCAAGCAGCCACAACAGCCAGAACTGAGCCAATCCAAAGCCAGGAGCCAGGAGTCTCTTCAGGGTCTCCCACACAGGTGCAGGGTCCCAAAGCTTTGGGCCATCCTCCACTGCTTTCCCAGGCCACAAGCAGGGAGCTGGATGGGAAGCAGGGCTGCTGGGATTAGAACCGGAGCCCCTAAGGGATCCCGGTGTGTGCAAGGTGAGGACTTTAGCCACTAGGTTATCGCATTGGGCCCTGTACCTCCATTTTCTTAAAAAATTTTATTTATTTATTATTTCAAAGACAGATTTACGGAGGGGGAGGAGCAGTGGTTTTCCATCCTCTGGTTCACTTCCCAATGGCGACACTGGCTAGAGCTGAGCTGAATCAAAGCCAGGAGCCAGGAACTTCCTCTGCTGTCTCATGTTGGTATAGGAGCCCAAGGACTTGAGCCAACCTCCACTGCTTTCCCAGCTCTAAAGTAGGGAGCTGGATTAGAATTGGAGCAGCCAAGACACAAACTAGCCCTTATATGGGACGCTGGTACAGCTGGTGTAGGATTAGCCTACTGCGTGCACTACAGCCCCATGTACCTCCATTTACAAATGAGGAAACTGAGACACAGAAGAGGGACAGCTGAGCTAAGATTCAGATCCTCACAGTTTTGACTCTAGAGTTACAATGCCAGTTAGACAACACCGGCGAACCCTGACACAGTTATGCTGAAGGCAGAAAAGCTGTGAGCTTTTCTGGGAGCTGGGAGATATCTTCAGCGAAACAGAACTTGGAATTTATGTTTTTTGTAGTCAATAATTAAAAGTTGAGATACAACTACATTAAGCAAAGTACACAAAAGTTAGCTTGATGAATTTTTACTTACATATGCATTTGTGTAATGACCACAGGCAGGATTCTAAAACATAAAATTCAAGACCTGAGTGGAGGCACAGGTGATTAAGCTACCGCTTGTGATGCTGCCATCCCATAGCAGGATACCAGCTCCAGTCACAGCTACTTCACTTCCAATCCAGCTTCCTGCAAATGCATCTGGGAAAGCAGCTGATGATCACCCATGTGGAAGACCTGCACAGAATTCCTGGCTCCTGGCTTCAATGTCATCCAGTCCTGGCTACTGTGGGCACCTGAGGAGTAAGTCAGCAGATGAAAAATTCTCTTTCTCTCCTGTTTTCTCCTTCTCTTTCTGTATGTGTCTTTCCCTCTCTATATATCATTATCTTAAATCTTTAAAAAAAAAAAACATGTTTCTATTGTTAGAGAAAAGTGTTATCAGCAAAACAAACAAACGTAAGCCATGTAAGTCCAACATAACCCAAGCCAAAAGCCCAGAGAGTAGCACTCCCAAGGCTCAACACAGACACCACCAAAGTCCAGGTTCTTCTTTGAGAAACTGAAGAGCAAGACTATTCTACCTATTAGGGCTTTTGTTATTTGCTTTAAAGTTTCTAATTCAGAGTAGCTCAGCTCTGAATCCTGGAATCAAAGGACAGAAATGACACTCTATTGCACCAACAGTAGGAATATTTAACTGAAAAATCTTAAACTGAGGATTTAAAACTCCACAGAAAATTTAGGTAAGTTTTTAAAATGAAAGCAGGAACACTGCAGGATATTTAGCAACAGAGAAAGACAAAAAAAGATCTTCTATTTTTAGAAAGTTGAAGACAGTTCACTACAACAGAAAGCATATCCAAATCTTTGTTCTGCAGTTAGTAGACAATACAAACCGGGGAAGCTACTTAATCTCTGAATTTCAGCTATATAATCTACAAAATGGGTGAGTACCTCTACCTATATTCCTTCTTGTGCAACAGTTCTGAGAAGCAGATAAGCAAGCTACATCATGGTACTCTCTAAAGTGCTTCTAAAGGAAGCAGCTCAAATAACTCAAAGGTACTACAGACACATTTATTACAGTTTGCCCGATAAAAGTCATTGTATTATATAATTTGTAAGAGGGAGAAAGAAACACAAGGCATAGTCCTTGTCTCTAAGAACTCAAAATTTAAAAGACAAAATAGTATTTGGTAATTAACAATACTAGTGTTTTCTTTTCTTTTTTCTTTTTTTTTTTTTTTAGGCCGTATAAACATGAAATTCTCTAAAAACAGAGGTCAGCAAATCTCAATCTGAGGGCCAAACTGGCCTGCTATCTATTTTGAAGTTTGGCTGGAGCACAGCCACATTCATTCATTTACCCATCGTATACACTGTAAGAAATGGTGAGTTAATTCCAAAGAAACAAAAAACTGCCCAATCCTTAAATATCTGCCACCTGGACCTCTACATATATTGTTTGGCAACTTCTGTTCTAAAAGTTCATAAGAAAAACACCACCTTTATGTTGGCTTCTGCCACATAGCATTCTACTCTTCAAGCAATACCAACATGTTTATGGAGAACGTTCTACACCTAGAGACTTTCAAACCTTTACTTTCAAACCTTTACCAAACTGCAGGACTTTCAAACCTTTACTGCCAAAAGATAACAATTCTACTTCAGACTTTTGGTTACATTTCACTCTCTTAACTTAGATCCCAGACTTGTCATGAGTCTTCTAAGTGTGGTATTTAAAAGTTCCTCATGACTGCTTCACAGACTAAGAATGAAGACTAAAATCCACTAAACTGATCATTTCTTGTAGGACCAGAACCATAGCAACTAGGGGGGAAAAGAAAAAAAGAAAACCTACCATTCATTGCTGAGGCATATTGAAGGCTACTTAAAGCAAACTGAAAAGCCCACTTTCAAAATTTACAGAGTATATTGCTATCTAAATTTTAACCTAATTATTAACAAAAAAATTTATTTGGATTTTCATTTGGGAAAAAATGTGTGTTAAACTGACAACCCAAAGACCATTTTAATGAAACTACTTAACTGAAAATGTATCTCTTGGAAATATTTATCTAAAATAACTTTTAGCAAGTAGGAAAGGATGATGATCATTTTGGCATTCTCGACTGCCAATTTACTGACAGTGTGGCTTTTAACATTTCCTACATTTTAGCATCACTCACGCCACCACTGCTGACAGGAGGAGCAGCTGGTCAAATGCCGATCCTGCTGTGATCAGTCTGGTCTTTCAGAATCTTTCGACCTCCTCACCTGCACTCAGCTCAGAGGGAAGGCAAACGCACCATATTTCTGTTACAGACATAGGTGCAAGGTCACTATATGGTCACCAACGTTACCTAGCAGGCAAGTACACACACAGCTAAGAAACAACTGTCCTGAAGTCTCTGTTGGAACAAGAACACACTAATCTGAAGACACTGCAGCCAAGCTCCTTCTGTTGCATTCAGCAGTGGAGAAAAGAATCCGCATTCCAAACAAAGCCAATTTTTTTTTCCTTTTTTAAAAACTTTTTATGCAGAACTTCATTCAGTAGGTATGAAGTGGTACTTTAGAGCCTGCATTTTTTTCATTATTTGAGGAACCCTCATTATAGTGCAGCACATTAAGCCGCCCCCTGCGCAGATAACATCCAATACGGATAACGCCACTTTGAGTCTGGCTACTCTGCTTCTAAAATAGCTCCCTGCTGTGGCCTGGGAAGGCAGTGGTGGATGGCCCAAGTGCTTGAGCCCCTGCTCCCAAACAGGAGACGGAAGAAGCTCTTGGCTCCTGGCTTAGACCTGGCCCAGTCTTGGACACTGAGGGCATTTGAGAAGATCAATCTCTCTCCTCACCTCCCTCGGACTTTCTGTAATTCCTTCAAACAAATCTTTTTAGAATCTTATTTGAAGGTTAAAGAAAGCACGAGCTCCCACCCAGTGGCTCGTTCCCCAGATGCTCACAGCAGCCTGGGCTAAGCAGGCCAAAGCTGCAGCTGGAAATGCATGCAGGTTCCACGTGGGCCTCAGGGACTCAACCAGTGGAGCCTTCACTGGATGACTTCCACTGGCAGGAAGCGGAGCCAGGAATCAAACCAGCCGCTCTGATATGGGAAGTGGGTGGCTCAACCACTACACCAACAACCTTCTCCTAAAGTCCACTTAATCTTTTCAACCTGCTATTGCATTACATTGTAACCTTTTGATTAGCATTACCTTTATCATGGAAAGACTCATTCTTTACTTTGGCCAACCAATTTCCATTTGTTCTTCTCAGAGCGTGCTTACATCTGTCCCACACTCTCCAGGATTTTTTTTTCCCAATTACTGTGACCCAGTAAGCTTATCACTCAGTTCCTTTAGTACTTGTAATAACAACAGATTTTTTACTAAGCTGTTTAAAACTCAACAGTTGAG